CATGAACTACTTCATAAATATACAGATATACATATATACGCAAATTCCATGCTAATTCACTCACTCACTATCTTCATGATCACTTACTTTTATTAACTAACAACTAGCAGTAATATTTTCAAAAAAATAATAATCTTTACTTTTTGATTGTGTAATGGAAAACATGTACACGTACACGTACACGACGTATAAAAAAAATGCACAGATGCGTGTTAGTTTTTTTTTCAGGTTTTTAGTTTAAATAATATAAATATGCATGTGTATGTTTCTTCAATTTACTTTACAATCATATTACAAAGTTGTAAAATGATGATTATGTTGTATGCATTGTATATTGTCTATTATCTATTTACCATTGTCGATGATGCTGATGCTGATGATGATCATCATAATCAGACCACCCACCGGCTGAGACTATCTATCTATCTATCGTATAACTACTATGATGCATATACCTTTGTGTACTGTGCACAACACTTTCTCTTATATTATGATTAGGATTATTAACACCTTGCCTTTTTATCCTATCACATTACATTTTACATGTACATTCCACTTCATGGTTTTTTTTCTAATTCAATGTTTGCATTCTCTTTTTTTTTCTGATATCAGTTTCATCACTCTATATAATAAACATTAATAAAAGCAGATTATCAGCGATTGTACTGATCACAAAATTCATTCAATTGTTATGTACATTATTGGTGTAAAAAATTGAATTTTATGTTAAGCAGTTTAATCTAATTTTTTTTTTGATATTTTGTTTAAATCTATTCACCATATGTTGTGTCTGAATGTGTGTGCGTTTGTTAGTATAGAGGCGCATTTATGCATTTATATATATGCACTTCAATAACAAGATTTAATTCGTTTACTACATTTAGATACCTAGTTTACACATCCATATTTACATGTGTGTGTGTGTGTGTGTCAGAGAGAGTGAGTGAATGTTCATTTACGTAAGTGACATTCAGTATATATATTTATTGTACATTGAACAAACAATGAAAAGCAGTCACATAAATAAAATTACTTATTTATGAATTTAAATGTAACATAATCATGATAATAATAATAATAAATTTCATGTTTCTTTTAATTAAAAAAATTTATTTATATTTATATACGTAAAGTTAAAAAATTTCAAATTATTGATAACCATTTTTTTTCCCCTTCACTATTGAACAACATTTGTCATTTCATTCAATTTCTTGTAATTTACTGTGTAATTTACTACTGACTTTTGTTTAGAATTATCGTCATTTTTTTAAAGAATATTCTATAAAATAAATCATCACAATCATCATCATTATAAATTATGATTTATTTTACTTGTCTTAATTTTTGTGTGTGTCATTAATATATTTTTATTGTATGATATTGAACATTGAAATAGTTCGAAATGTTACTCCTTCTTTCTATGGATTTCCATTTTCATACAAAACAGTAAGAAGATAAAAAACGCTAGTTGAAAGTAGATGATTTGTTAAGAGCTATATATATATATATATATATATATATATATATATATATATATATATATGTGATCATTTCATAGCTGTCACAGAGTTTTACATTTATGTATCTTTCTAAAAGTTTTGTGAAGAAAAAAACACTGTTACTAGTTAAGTAATTGGATATCACTTATTTCCAATGATTTATTAGACAAGGAAAAACCCTTTTTGTGTCATTTAGAAACTACTGAAAAGAGAAATGATACTTCATAAATATATTATTTCCAAAAATTGAATTATACATTCAACAGAGTAAGATGATTTGCATTACGAGGTTGTTGTGAAGATTGTTAAGTTTTATTTGAAACCATGAATCGATCAATGTTAGACCACCATTAGAAACCTGGAAGCACTGAAAGACGGGCGTGTCGTCCTGGTATGGGACTCCTCATCGGTGCGCATCCACGACTCCTGCACACCCGCAGGATTCGAACCCAGGACTATCCGTATTGTAGGCGAACGCCTAACCTTAAATTGATCAAGTTAGACATTAACACCGTTAGATACCGGCTCAGTGGTCTGATGGTTAGGTGTTCGCCTACAATACCGAAGGTCCTGAGTTCGAGTCCTGCGGGGTGCAGGAGTCGTGGATGCGCACCGATGAGGAGTCCCATACCAGGACGACACGGCCGTCCAGTGCTTCCAGATTTCTAATGGTGGTCTAACATTGGTCGATTCATGATTTCAAATAAAAGAGTAGGATGACTTCCTATTTTTTGAGGTATGCACTATAATAGTCTAGTTTGAATCTAAGGATATTTACTGCATTTTTGTATAATCTGAAAAAAAACACTTCAGAATTCGAATAAATTATTTCGTTATTATAAAATTGCAACTTTTCAACCCACTATCATTTGTTGATTTAAAATAAATTTTTTTTTAAAAAAATACTAAAAATTTTGAATGATTTCATGGTTGAAATCATTTGTTTTTTCAAACTAATTTTCATGATTCAATAATTTGAAAATGTGCGGCATTTTAAAATATAACAGTTGATTTTCAAGAAATTTTAGTAACAGCTAGAAACATATCAGAAATCACTAATAAATTGACAATAGAATAATTGTAATTTCAAAATTCTTTTTAGTTTTGAACCTTGAAAAGGGAATGAAATCTTGTTGGGGCAGAGTTTTGGAGGTTTGTGTTTTTTTACACATTTGAAATCATCAATCAATCATTGTTAGACCACCATTAGAAACCTGGAAGCACTGGATGGCCGTTTCGTCCTGGTATCGGACTCATCAGCAGTGCGCATCCACGACTCCTGCTCCTCGCAGGATACGAACCCGGGACCTTCGGCATTGTACGCGAACGCCTAACCATCGGACCACTGGGCCGGCATCCAACGGTGTTAATGTCTAACTCTGATCGATCTAGGGATTTTGCGCGACCTCACCCTTTTGTCTTTGGTAGTTACTGCCTACATCTGAAATCTTGTTGGTGTTTTTCCTGACTTTTATTGAGTTTTATGATCGTCCAATTAAAAACGTTGAAAATTAATGTGAAATCAGGTGAATGCGGTAATATTCTAGAAATTTCTAAAATTCTTTTTTAAATAATAAATTTAGTTTACAGTGTTATACTTGAAAATTGTTTGTCTATCATTTCAACTAGGTATGCATGAATAAAATTCTGTTTATTTTCTTGTGAAATAATTTTTTTAGTTGAATCAAAATGAATAATAATTGGTATTATTCATATTTTTTGGATTTTTTGTACATGAATGATTTTACTTAGTAGAAAAATATAATTTCATATAAAACGTTAGAGAGTTATGGAGATTGATGTTTATTGTTGAAATCGTGAGTCATTGATTGTTAAACCACCATCTGCAAGCACTAAACTGACGTTTCGTCCTAATCTGAGACTCTTTAGCAGTGTGCTCACTAGTAGCTAGCTTTTAGAGTAAATACTCGTAGTTCTAGTGAGAATTCGTGACCAGTGGAGTTCAACCTTGTCCTGTTTAGGCAGTAATTATCGAAGACAATGACTGAGGTAGCACAAAATTCCTAGATTGATCAGAGTTATACATAAACACAGTTGAATATCGGCTCAGTGCTTCAGAGATTAAGCGTTTGAGTACAAAACTGAATGTCCTAGGTTCGATTCCATTGAGTAGCGGTAGTCATAGATGAACACTGCTGGTGAGTCCCATACCATGACGAAAACGCCATCCAGTGTTTCCAAGTTTCTAGTTGTCGCCTATCAATCAGTGATTATACTGTTGCCCAAAAGATATTCTTTCAAACATATTTAGACCATCATTAGAAACCTGGAAGAACTGAACGACCATTTCGTTTCAGGATGGGACCCCTCAGCAGTGTGCATCCACAAACCCTGCTTGCGAGAATCGGACCAAGGACCTTTAGTCTCGCGTGCGAACGCTTAAATTCTAGACCACTGAACCGGCATACAACCGTGTTAATGTCTAACTTTCATCCATCTGAGGATTTGTACACAACCTCACTCATCGTCTTCTGTAGTTACTGCCCAACCACGACAGGGTTGAACTCCACTGATCACGTCTTCTTACTAGAACTCTGAGAATTTCCTCACGAAGCTAATCACTAGTGAATACATCATATGATATTCATCATAGAGATACAAAGATTGTTGTTTTTGGCCTATCAATGTTAGACCATATAACATGATTCCTGTTTTGTAATTATCTCTATCACACTGCATGTCGACCATTGTTATTCTACAGATTAATCTTACAGTTTCATTTTACCGATAAACTTATTCAAAGTGAACATTTCATACTAGTTATCAAAACACTGACCATCTGTTTTTTTTCAAACAATCCTAAATTCGTATGCTATAAATTTTAATCGATATATTTTACCCTAAATCTAGCCGCTTTTCGTCTTCTATAGTTATTGCCAAAGCGCGACAGGGTTCAACTCCACCGGTCATGTCTTCTAACTAGAACTCCGAGAATTTCCTATACTACCGAAGAGAATGGGTGGTGTTTTGCCGAAATATTTATACTGATCCAAGTTAGACATTAATACTTTTGGATGTTGGTTCAAAAGTGTGTAGTTTAAGCGTTCGCACACGAAGCCAAAGATCTTGGATTCGAATCTAGTGTGTAGGGGTTGTCGATGCGCACTGCTGAAGAGTCCCATATTACAACGAAACAGCTTTATAGTGCTTTCTGTCTTCTAATGGTGGTCTAAAAATGCTTGATTCATGATTTTAATGAAAATGCTTTTCGTAAACAAGAGAGAAGTGGTACTGCTTTGAAAAAACAATTTATTTCTATCTTAAAACGTTTATTTTTCATAATAATCATTATTTATCCTACTTTTTTTCAATTAAAATATCAATATAATTTAGCAAAAATCATTTCGATTCTATCCATCAATATTTAAATCAAATTCAGAATTCAATTCAAATGATTCATTGAATTCTACTCGTAGATCAACTACCACCAACACACCAGCTACAATAACCTCATCATCAACATCAACATCTTCCGCATCAATGCGTTTTCGTGCTAATAAATATGGACGTCTTAAAACCAAATGTTTAAATCCTAATAAATATCAACCAAATTATTCATTGTCCAATAATCGTTTACATTTATGCAATAAATTGAATCAATTCAATTCATTAATGACCAATTCTGCATTAAAATCGATACGTAGATCTACACAAAATTTCCCCAATTCACATTGGTCCAATCTATCGTTGGGATCACAATTGACAACGTCATCATCGTCATGCTCACCACCACTGCCGCCAATATCAACATCATTCATTGATCAAAATTTAAAATCGAATTTCTTAACTGATCTACAATTCCCTAGATCAAATAATTTAAATAACCATACGAATGGATTACTCTCATCGTCTGTTGTATCAAACTCCCGTGGAAGTCATCAACATCATCATAGTAGCAATAACAATAATCATAATAATAATAATAGTAATAATAATAATCTAATTGATCGTCCAGTAGTGGTATTAAATCCTGATGAACCACGTGAAATATTTATTGGCGGTGTACAATCTGTTGCATTACCATTATGGGCATATTGTAAATGTTTAACAATGGTACGTGGTGAACCGCATGAATTAGGACCACGTTTATGTTTACGCCTATTGCAAAGTTTATTCAGTTTGCATTATTTAGTCACGCATAATTATAATGGTTCCGGTGGAAAAGCTCCAATTGATCCAATTGTGATGAGTGCTGTATTACGTCAAGCTCAATTACAATTTGGTTCAGGATATTTTTTCACTGAACCAATGGCATTAGGTAAATTAAGAGATTATTTAAATAATGCATTTCGTGTAATGGCATTTAGACAACGTAAAGGTGAACGTGTACGATCACCATTTTGGAATGAAAAAGGTGAACCAATACATGATTTAGAAGCACCAGTGGAATTTTCAAATATTACTGATATTATTGTTATACCATATTCAACTAATGTTACTAATACTACTAATAGTAGTATTAGTAGTAGTAATAGTAATAGTAGTGTGATTACAACTACAACAACCATGTCCACAACACCAACATCAACAACACCGACAACATTCTCAAATGAATCGGATTTATGCTTGAATTCAAGATGTATAGATTAAAATATTTTACACAAAAAAGAAATTCTTTTTTCTGTTACTTTCATATATTTCTTCCTTTTTTCAAGTATTACTACTGTGCATGTGTTTTTTTTATTCTGTAAAACAATTTGAACAATGTTAACTAGATATTGAACATTGAACAGTTCATTGTTCAATAAGTAAAATGATTTTAAAAAATGAGAAACTATAAACAATTAAAGAATTAAATGAGGTTAAAACAAATATATTCTTCTTCTTAACAAGTAGAAAATTTATATTCAACTTTTGTAATCACTAAATTCATGTTACAATATTATTCATGTTGATTTAGTAAAACAAAAAATAAAACAGAGGGTTATTTAAAAATTGGTTGAGATTTATAAAAAAAAACATTTTATCACTTGTACGTATGTATCTTTTGTCTAATTGTTATATTATACTGGTTGTTCAATTTCAAACTAAACAAACAAACTGAAACTTATCAAATTTAAACAGACCAAATATAATATCGCGTGAATTTCGACTTGTATTAATTCTTTGCTCTGATTTGATTAATTTTTTCGGTGTTTATTGTTTTGCTAAATTAAAGACAAACATTTCATGATTATATACATATATATATAAATATATGCATACACAGAAGAGATATTTATATGTACTGATGTAAACAGCGCATTACAGTTCTTAAATACAATGATTATTGAACTAAATTAATTACTGATTTATTTTTTTTATCAAATGATATATCTCTAAAGATTAATGTTGTCTACCAATGTGAACACATCATTGTGAATGAAGGAAGGTATTTTCATTTCCCACACACACTTGAATAGAAGGAGTGGTTTGGTTAGTTGTTAGTGATTAAAATGTCATATTTATCGTTTGATGTGAGAAATATATATATATATATATTTATTTTTTCTTGTGTGTATATGAGAGTTTCATTTCATGCTACATGGGTTAATAATAATAATAATAATAATAATAATCGTGTATGCTTCATATGACAGATGCCTAAAGAATAATTTCAAAAGTAATCATATTGAAAAGCGGTTGAATAAAACAAAAGATAAGGAGAGGGATTTTATTTTTCCTCTGTGGGTGTGTGTGTGTGTATGAATCCACAGTACTATGATCATGGTCATCATCAACATCAACATCGCTGCGAGTTTTTTAAACATTCCTTAAATATACTAAACACAGATAAGTTAGTTATCAACTACTTTATGTTACACAAAATAATGATTAATTAGAAAATGTAACACCGGTTGAAAGGCAAGAAGATAGATTTCTCTTAGTTGTGTAGTTGTTTTCAAGTGTTGCACAGACAGACAAATGAAACGTTCCCAGAAGATTATGCCTAATTAATTAATTATTGATAAATAATTAACACTTGTATTAAAAAAAAATTAATTATTATATTAAGTAATCATTCATTTACATGAATGATTTATTGCATATTTGTGCGGAAAAAAAGAAACGATCTTAGATGGTGGTCTATCTGAAGAAAAAAATAAAATTTAAATGATGTAGATTAGAAAATTAATAATTGATTTCATGAAGAGAATTATTTCATTTGAAATTGGTTTTTTGTTAGATGATCAGTTGCAGAATTTTTAGTATAATGAGTTTTAGGAATATTTTGGTGAGCTATTGAGATCACAAATTAATTTTAGATAGATAATAATTGAAAAAGTGAGATGTGCCAGAAAGCTGTATAATCGTAGAAGGGGACTTTTCAGTGGTGCGTATTAGCAATCTCTCATACAATTAAGGATGTACACTAAGACCAATCAGTCCGCAATATAATAAAGCCAAGTATCACCTAAGGTAGTTAACGAGATTTGCACTGTCCCGAGGTCCGATATCATAACGCAACAGTTCATCGCTATTCTTTGGTATAAATAAAGAACGATCACATACAGAACAGATTAAACAGTATGGCGCTTAGAAAAGACAAAGATTACTTACAAAATATGCACACCTTATTTTTAGACATCTGTTATGCTTGTCAATTTATATGCTTGAAACTATTACGAGTTCACCTTAGTTGATAAATGAGAAAAAGACAATGAACCAGTGACACGACAGGCCACTCTGATCCGCTGCCACAAACTACTGACGAAAAAGTCTTGATATAGCGTAGAAAAAGTATTCTATAAACACCCAACAAGCATACAAACCGCGTTACATCAAACAAACGTCCTTGGGAGGGTCACAAAAATAGTACACTAAAATAACACATCAACCAATGACAGCCAAGGATTTCCTCGTGGGAAATGTGATTTCAAGGTCAACTGATCGGCACATGAATAAAATCCAAAGTTAGGACATTCATCGAGCGAGTTCTTGGGATCTAACGTCCCCAACAACATCGATTTTCAAAACCAGCATATTACTGGATGTCTTCTCTCACATAACTTCTGGCCTTCAAAACACTTCAGTAGCGCCACACACACACACAAGCTATGTTACGAAAGGTATCTACCACACTGCCTTGTATTCTAAGTAGAGCTCACTACTTCAGTGGCGCGCGAACTGACTTTGATACTTATGGATAATGAAATATGCTATGAAATAAATCTCCCCTTCATTTTCCTTATATCGTACTTCGGCGAACCGCTTTTGTGTGACGATTCCGTTGGATGAATGTATTTCAGGCAATTGTTTAAGTAGACAGACATGAGAATACAAAGCGTTAAAGCAATGCGAAGCGAAGTGGATTAGGTGAGCGCCCCAACTCAATATAATGAAGCATGACTAATTAATTATAGTCACGCAAAAATAAGCTAAACATGCGATAAGAGAAGTGAACCTGCATACACATACACATTAGGATATAAAACAACTAAGATAAAAGCGAATAATTGGCAAAGTCGAAACACATGTGAGTAGCTCAAGAATAATGGATTAGTTATTTTTATCCAAAGTCTAAACTCTGTTTCATTGCCTAGACCTCAAAGGTCGATGATTGTAGAACTGTTGTTATGTTGAATAGTTCACAGAATTGATTAAATGACATTATGTAATTTTAGAATCTTGTGTTTGGATTAAGTAGACTGACATTGAATCTGGTGTGTCAGTTACCAAGTCAGTTATAACGCAGAACATCGCACATCAGTATATAAGTTGAGGTTGCCATACTGCATTAGCACAGAGACGCAACCGTCAGTTCAAATCCCACGATGGTATAGATAGTAGGAGTATTAGCAGTAATGTAGAAGATTAGGGTTCGAAGACATGATTCGAAAAGTATGATTCAGTGATAACTTTAAAAAGAGAAACAGAGATGATGAGGAATTCTGAAGGTTAGAATTCGAGAGAACACAACGAATGAATGCACCGGCGTCATTGCAAACGGTTTTGAATCACGTCATTCAGAGTCTCTAACCATCGATTATTACCATCTCGCGGACCCCAACCAGGTAGTCAACATCTACCAACATGACTCAGTCCACATGTCAGTGACTTCATGGATTCCTGTCATGTTTTGGTCTGACCACCCCTAGCGTTCGTCTAACCTATCCCTACACCGCAAAATATAGCTGATCGAGACAGTCGGTGGTTAGGCATACGTAACAAATGTCCCAACCACCTCAACTGATGCAGTTTCACTAGTTCATCTATTGATTTGCCATCCTTAACTAATACTCGTTTCCTAACTATAGCATTGCTTACTCGGGTTGTCCCAGGATATACGAGTAATGCTCCGAAGACATATATAATCAAATACTAATAACCTAAATAATCGACACTATATACTTATTTGCTAATCGAATATCAACCAATTCAATTCCTTGTTTAGTTCTTCAATTGAATAAATTATACTTGCCAATTTCCAACATAGTCCCTGGGATAGATGACTCAAGATGCTGTACGATAGAGAACAACTTATGGAGAACTTGGCAGTATAGTTTTGTACTAGTTGGAACTGGTCAGTAAAATCTTATTCAAAGTTTCATAGGTACTAATACTTTGTAGTGATTTACTTTTACAAAGAAAACACAAAGGCTGAAATATAAACATTTATTATTGTACTTAATTCTGACAATAATTGATACACTGTGCACCTCTTGTTTATCTCGCTCGCCAAGCGTGCTATTCCCATTCTCCTCTTCGGACGTCTCCTGCGTGGACGTTAGCTTTCTGTACACCCTCTTGCCTCGATTATTATTTCGATATCACAAGGGCATTGTATCAAATATACTTCTTCTTCCTCTCGAATCAGTTTCTTTCTTGATTCTCTGAATTCGTGGAGTAACATTTGTTCTCCCGCCAAGTAGTATATCGTACGAAACACTATAACTTTACCATCAGTTATCCATTATCAACAGAATTGATGTTATTTTATGCAAAATACAACTGCAAAAATCAGTTCATAATGTATAGGATGAAAATCAAAAAACAGTGTGGTGCGAGCTACTTATAAGTAGTATATAACGTGAGTGTCAACGTAATGTCTGGCAGCAGAAGATGGGGGGAAGATCAAGAGAAAGGAAGAGTTAGAAGAACACAATGGAATTTGTATGAAACGCATGAATAGTGAGTGACAATGGATTGATGTTTTGCAACAGGAACAGTCCAGTTCGATATGATGAACTGATATTTTGCAAATGAACGATAATATTGTATCTTGAATGTACAAAAATCGAAAAGATAAACATTTCTTATACATTCTCAATACATTTACGCTGATGCTTTTAATTTCATGTTTGCAAAAGAAAGTACAATGTTATAAATACTATTATTTACACAGAAATAAATTCAAATTAAAGCTAAATACCAGATGTAGCTTATATGTTTTCGCTTTCTGATTTGAATTGTTTTTTTTCACACAATCGTTTTTTTTCTGTTTTGTATTTTATGTACACTTTCAAAAATTAATTCAACCGCCTATTGTGAATTCAGCTGTTTTTAGCTCTAAAAAACAATTCATTAACTATTATTTGATTCTTAATAAAAGTTAAAACAGCACAAATTTAATTTCAGGTAGGTGAATGAGTAAAAAAGGGAAAACCTAAAGAAAAGCGGTAGGTATTTCAATAGATTTCAAGAAATGCATCGATATTGGGGTTAGTTTCTGTTAGGATATTCATCCAAAATCATAAGAGGATTATTGCTCAATTCCTATTGGTCAATTACCACTGGTCAATTTTACGGTCGTACCCGATATCAATGTCACATACTCCAATGTTGTTTCTTATTGGTTGTCCTGGCTATCAATATCACTTCGAATGTTGCTTCCTATTGGTCGTCTTAACTGTCAATGTCACAGACTTCGATGCTGTTTCCTATTCGACCAAAATGTATAAATATACATTATCGGTAACGTTTTATGACCACGACCAGGGCTCGGTGCCGGATCCCTAGTCCGGGATCCTGATTCTCTCCTGGACTCGGACCTCGTACTTCCTAGATGCTTGTAGAATACAGGTTCTACTACATATCACGTCTTCTTATTTTTATTAAATATAGGGGTTGGGATAATCGGATTGACTAGCATGTCGTGTCGCCGGATCCTCGCTCTCGTTTTCCGACTAGGTAAACTCGTAATAGTTCACGCATATCAAGTTGACGTGTTTACGTGCAGGCGTAACAGTTTCAATGTCTGTTTGATAATTGAGCATTCTTTGAGTGTACTTCACCTTTTTGATTCTGTCTAGTTAGATTTTGTCCTTACTTGAATTCATAGCAAATCTACTTTTATGAAGAGATCGCAATTGGTTTCTATAGAAAAATTCATTATTATAACCATTTGTACCAGTAATTGTTTAACTGTACTTTTTATCTGTTACACTCTGTTTGTGTTACAGTCATCTTGGCTCCACTGTCTCTGTAATTTCGCCCATCTTTTCTGGCACGATTTTGGTATTCTTTCGATACCATGAAATTGCCAGCAAATATTCTTTACTATGGAATATAACTCTTCTTCTCGGTGACGAGCTCGTAATTAGTATTTAGTGGTGATCATAGTCAATCTCGACTTGATTCACCACTAAAAATTTTCTATACTAAGATAAACATTTAGTTGATAAAGCATCATTTTGAGTGTAGTACAGTAGTGACTACATAATAACTGATGTTCAAGTGTGAAAATAATTACTTTGTACATCTTTGTGTGCCTAAATTGAATTGCAAAATACAATACAATGTAAGGATGTTTAGGATGAGATTCTCGCTCCTCCAAATGTAAAATGTTATTTTAGGATTGGTTTGCCTAGGCACCTGAACTAGTGTTAAGGAGTAAAGTGGTTATGAGACCTTGAAGTAGCCAATGCTGGATTTAGGAAATGTGTACTAGATGTTGGTAGCAAATCAATTGATGAAGTAGTGAATGTTGGAATATGTGTCACAGATGCCCAACCACCGACTACCCCGACGAGCTATGTTTTGTGGTGTAGGAGTAGGTTGGAAGAAAGCTATGGGAGGCCACATCGAAACGTGACACAAATCCATGAAGTCACTGACAAGTGGTAGGTGTAGACTACCAGGTTGAGGTCCACGAGACGATGGTTACAGACTTTGAGTGACATAACTGGAAATCGTTTGTCTTTTCTCAAATTTTAATCTTCTGGATTTCTCGTCGCCTTTTTCTTCCTAAATTTATCTCACTGGACTATACTTCTTGAATAATATCTTCGAACCCTAAATTTTTTGATTAACGCTAACACTTCTACTACCTTTACTACTATGGGATTTGAATTAACAATCGCATTTCTGTGTCAATGTATTATGGAAACTCAAACTGGTGTACGCACGTACCAAGTTCTATGTCACAGCTGAGTAACTGAACACATTTCTAAAAAAGCTATTAAATGACTGGTTGTGCGAATATATCGTGAAGATGGAACAATTTCTTGCATACAAAACATTCAACAAACAAGCAAACAATCACGACCGAAGACGAAAGTAATAAACTGACCTACGATGATTCCAATTCAGAATATTTTAACATTATAGACTGTGTAGGGAAAATGATTGTTTAACTGTTTACTGAATACTAAAATTCCTCAGAACTATAATTACTTTGTTCCACTAAAATTGAACACCAAAAACCTTTCTATGACGTCACCGAGTAGTATTATACTGCTACGAGGACCAAGTCACACGTGCGTGATAAATATATTTTTTAAGATCATAAGCTAATAGTCTTCAAAGTATTGCTCGTATATCCTGGGACCACCGAGTAAGCATTGCTGGTGTTAAAAGGATATTAGGTAAGGATGACAAATCAATCAGCTTAGGTGGCTGAGACGTATGTTACTTATGCCCAATCACACTGCCTACCTCGACGACCAATGCTGTTATAAATAGTAGATTGAGAAAAAGCTACGGTCACGTACATCAATACTGTTTTATTCTATCTTAAAGGACTGCATCCTAAATTTGATTTTAACAAGACTACAACAGCTAGGATCAAGTGTTCAATACCAAAAAGATACTATTACAACAGCATTTTGAAACCATAAAAAACAACGGTTGATGAGTGACCAATCCTTTAAACAATAAAATAAAGAGAAGAATATACATCAGAACAAGTTTGTATTAGTAATGGTGTTTATTTTCAATGTACAATTTCTGTGAAATGAACGAACCATCCATGTAGAAGAAAATAACAAACCTATGCAAAATGAAAACAAAAGGAAGATAGAAAAAAGAAAAAAAAAAGGAGCGAGTCATTTTCAATGACATTTTTACATCAGCCAGTCAGTCAGTTGCAACGTAGAACTTCGTACGTATGTACATAAGTTCATGTTGCCATACCACATTATTAGCACAGAGACGCAAATGTCAAATCAAATCCCATAGTGATAAAGATAGTAGAGGTATTAATGGTAATCAAGAAGACTAGGGTTCGAAGATATTATTCAAGAAGTATAATTCAGTGAGATAAGGTTAGAAAGACAAAAGTAGAGGTGCTGACGAATCCAGAAGATTAGGATTTGAGAGAGCTCAGCGAATGGATGCACTTGCGCCATTGCAAATGATTTTGAGTCATGTCGTTCAAGGTCTCGAACCATCGATTACTAACATCTCGCGGACCCTAACCGGGTAGTCTACATCTACCAACATGACTCAGTCCACTTGTCAGTGACTTCATGAATTTTTGCCATGTTTTGGTTTGACAGCCCTAGCTTTCTTCCAACCTACTCCTACGCTGCAAAACATAGCTCGTCGAGGCAGTCGGTGGTTAGGCATACGTAGTTGTGCATACGCAACACATGTCCCAACCACTTCAACTCATGAAGTGTCACTACTGCGTCTATTGATCTGCCATCCTTACCTAGCACCCGATTCCTAATAACAGCGCTGCTCACTCGGGTGTCCCACGATATACGAGCAATACTTCGAAGACACCTATGATCGAAAACCAGTAACCTACGAATATCTTCTACTCTCACTGGCCATGTTTCACAGCCATAAAGTAAGACGGAGCGAACTAGTGCACAGTACACTCGTCCTTTAGTCAGAAAACGGATATCTCGCCTTCGTCATAAGTGACGCAGGTTGGCAAAAGCCAATCGAGCTTTCTGTATCCGAGCTGAGATTTCGTCAGTCACCATGCTATCGGCACTCATGAGACTCCCAAGATAAGTGAAGCGGTCTACACGTTCGACTACTTCACTCCCTATCACTAGTTCAGGTGCCGATGAAACCCAATCTTGAAGCAACATTGTGCATTTCGAGGGGGAAAATCGCATCCCGAACATGCTAGCATTGTTGCTTACGGCAGTCAGAAGACTGCATTTTGTCAGAGTCTTTACCGAATAGAACTATGTCATCAGCATGTTCTAGATCGGTAAGCGATATTCCTGGTAAGAGGTCAACCCCTGAAAAATCTGACGAGCTTAATGTTAACTCTAAGAGGATGTCTACGACAAAGTTAAACAAGAATGGAGAGAGTGGACAGCCCTGACGGACACCACTTGATGTACAGAATTCCGGTGACAGTTCACCACAAGCTCTCACTCGACCAGTAGTGTTCGAGTAGAGTGCTTGTATAAGGTTAATGTACTTTTTTGATACACCTTTCAATGACAGACACTGCCAGAGAACCTCACGATCCACTGAGTCAAATGCCGCTCTTAGGTCCAGGAACACGACGTCTAAATGAGTCCGACATAATTTAATGGAAAGAAAAAATATCATTCACTTCTTTGATTAAATCAAACTTACTAGGATATATTCAATGGAATTAGCAATAAACCATTTGTGACATGACGTCTAGGCTCCCAACGACCAAATCTATGTTGTTGACCTAAACAAACGGCTAAATATCGACGATCCGAAGAGAAAGCTAATCCATTGATAAAACCACCCTGATAATTCAAAGGGGAAGGGAAAAAAAGAAAAAACCCAATCAAGAAATCAAGTAAATTGATACTGTAAATGCAGTACACAGTAATAAAAAAAGAGGTAAAACGGTTAGATTTATATGTGTATGCGTGATAGGATAAATCGAACGTCAAATTATTCTTGTACGATGTGATAAATTTGTAGGGGACGTTAGATCCCCACAACTCACTTGATAAAGGTCCTAATTTTGGCTCTTATACTTTCGCGCATGGGCTGACCAGTTGACCTTGAGATTACATTTTCCACCCGGAAATCTTTGACCGTCACTGGTTGATGTTATTTTAATATGCTACTTTGTGGCTCACCTAAGGACGTTTCTATCATGTATAAATAAACTCAATTTGTGTGCTTGTGAACCTCTATTTTCTGAAAGTTTGTGGAATACACTTTCTACGTCTTGTCAAGACTTCTTCCTCTACTTAGTGGGGCCTTTGCATTATTTGTGTTCACTCTCGTTTACCGAATAAGCTGAACTCGTAATAGTTTCAAGCATATCAATTGATGAGCATAACAAGATATAACAAGCAACTGATTGCAATACTAAATATCCAAAACAGGAAAATATGGAAAGGGATAACAACACAAGTAACATAAGACCCATGCGAATGAATTTATATGATTACGTTCCGGTCAATCAATAACAATGAAGAACCTGAAACATAGTTGTATTAGTTGGACTCATGACAATATATGATTATCAAGTAGCGGTTAAATTATCAAGACAAATATGTTACGGGTATGAGAGCGGACGTCATTTCCCAGCTGCCTACACCGTAGTAGGTTGGTTCTTGAGGAACCTGGAAGGAAAATTAGACTAGAGTTGGTCTTAGCGACCTGAGCGTAGAGGCCAAAGGACAGCTGCTTCGGGCCGCTCACACACAGCCTTTTTGTTACGCATGAACGTAAACACGTCATTTTGATATGCTTGACTCATTACGAGTTTACCTTAGTCGGAAAACGAGAGCACGAGGATCGAGGATCCGGAGACACGACATGCTACTCTAATTCGAGTGTCCCAACCCCCATTGAATAAAAGAAAACTTGATATGAAGTAGAACGTGTATACTACAGACATCCAGAGAGTACGAGGTCCGAGTTCAGAAGAGAATCAGGATCCCGAACTAGGGATCCGGTCCATAAAACGTTACAGATAATGCGTAATTATATAGTTAGGTCAAATAGGAAACAGCACCGAAGTCTGTGACATTGAAAGTTAAGACGACCAACAGGAAAAAACATTTGAAGTGATGGTGATAGTCAGGATGATCAATAAGAAACATTGGAGTACATGACATTGATAGCTAGGACGACCATAAAATTGACCAGTTGGAATTGACCAATAATTCTCTTAAGATATTGGATGAATATCTTAACACTTTTATGGGAAGTTTTTAACGCGTTAGCTCCGCTCTTCAAATGGCCTTACTGCCGGAGACAGAAATCCATGAGGTAAAGTGAGTTGAGACATTTCCTACGGTTGACCATTTCTAACCCCTTCCTTCCTTGCGACAAGGCATTATCGCTGCAGATGTTGGTTGTCCGAGGGAAAGTAAAGAGTGAATGTGTTCACGCTATTGCAGTCAGTCAGTTGCAACGTAGAACTTCGTACGTATGTACATAAGTTCATGTTGCCATACCACATTATTAGCACAGAGACGCAAATGTCAAATCAAATCCCATAGTGATAAAGATAGTAGAGGTATTAATGGTAATCAAGAAGACTAGGGTTCGAAGATATTATTCAAGAAGTATAATTCAGTGAGATAAGGTTAGAAAGACAAAAGTAGAGGTGCTGACGAATCCAGAAGATTAGGATTTGAGAGAGCTCAGCGAATGGATGCACTTGCGCCATTGCAAATGATTTTGAGTCATGTCGTTCAAGGTCTCGAACCATCGATTACTAACATCTCGCGGACCCCAACCAGGTAGTCTACATCTACCAACATGACTCAGTCCACTTGTCAGTGACTTCATGAATTTCTGCCATGTTTTGGTCTGGCCGCCCCTAACTTTCTTCCAACCTACTCCTACACCACAAAACATAGCTCGTCGGGGCAGTCGGTGGTTAGGCATACGTAACACATGAAGTTTCACCACTTCATCTATTGATCTGCCATCCTTACCTAGTACTCGTTTCCTAACGACAGCATTGCTTACTCGGCTGTCCCACGATATACGAGCAATGCTTCTTAAACATCTATGATCGAATACTAGTAACCTACGAACATCTACTCTTAACGGCCATGTTTCACAGCCATATAAGAGAACGGAACGAACTGCTGCGCAGTACACCCGCCCTTTGGTTAGCGAACGGATATCACGCCTACGCCATAAGTGACGCAGGTTGGCAAAAGCCAATCGAGCTTTCTGTATCCGAGCTGAGATTTCGTCAGTCACCAGACCGTCAGCACTGATGAGACTCCCCAGATAAGTGAAATGATCAACACGCTCGACTACTTCACTCCCTATCACTAGTTCAGGTGCCGATGCAACCCAGTCTTGAAGCAACATTTTGCATTTCGAGGGGGGAAACCGCATCCCGAACATGCTCGCATTGTTGCTTACGGCAGTCAGAAGACTCTGCATTTTGTCAGCGTCTTCACCGAATAGAACTATGTCATCGGCATATTCTAGATCAGTAAGCGACTTTCCTGGTAGAAGGTCAACCCCTGAAAAATCTGACGAGCTTAATGTTAACTCTAAGAGGATGTCTACGACAAAGTTAAACAAGAACGGAGAAAGTGGACATCCCTGACGGACACCACTTGATGTAGAGAATTCAGATGACAGTTCGCCATATGCTCTCACCCGACCAGTGGTGTTCGAGTAGAGTGCTTGTATAAGGTTAATGTACTTCTTCGGTACACCTTTCAATGACAGACACTGCCACAGAACCTCACGATCCACTGAGTCGAATGCCGCCTTAAGGTCCAGGAACACGACTATCGTCGGACGTCTAAATGTGTGTCTGTGTTCCAGGACCTGTCGTAATGTGAAGATGTGGTCTATACAACCACGTCCAGGTCGAAAACCAGACTGGTTTTCTCGAGTCTGCTCTTCACGAGCTCTAGTTAGACGTCTAAGTATAATCGAGGCTAACAATTTAGAAACTATATTAGTTAAACTTATTCCCCTGTGATTGTCACAAGAGGACTTCTGTCCTTTCTTGTAGATTGGGACATTTAGCGACTGAGACCAGTCAGATGGGATTACGTCCATTTCCCAGATTCTACCTAGGATCTCGGTCAGTCTAACCGTTAAAACTGGACCACCATACTTAAACATCTCAGGGGTAAGCCTGTCGGGACCTGCCGCTCTACCTCCCGTTAGATTTCCTATAGCTTTCTCAACTTCATGTAAACTGGGAGGACTTAAATCGATTTGCCATTCGGGATGACTGGAGATCGTGGGCAACCGAAGTGTGGCTGAAGGCCAGTTGAACTGATCCCTAAAGTGTTCTGCCCATCGGTCCAGCCTCCTAGATTGAGAATGGATAATAAGACCATCCTTTTCCGAGATAGTCTCACTCACATTCGGGTTCCTAATACCGGTTTCTTTAATAAGACGGAAAAGTTGTCTAGTGTTGCCTATCGCCGCTGCCTTTTCCATCGCTTTTGCTTTCGCCACCCACCACTGTTCACGGTCGTTACGTAGGCTTTTTATAAGTCTGCGCCTAAGCTGACTACGCTCTTCATCATGTTCAGAGTCAGGTGGGATGCGTTTTCGAGCATCCATCAGTTCGGTGGATGCGACTGAAATCCACTGCTTCATCCTAGCATTGTGGTTTACCTTGCTAGCAGATACCATTGCTGTTTCCACAGCCTTCTTGATATGATTCCAACCTGCTTCAGGATGGGAATCACTTGCATGGTCGCCTAACTGTTTTTCTAGTTCCTCCTGAAATATTTTCTTAGCTTGTGTTGGGGATGTTAGATCCCCAAAATTCGCTTGATAATGCCGTATTTCGGTTTTCACGTTCACCAGCAGGGGCTGATCAAATGACCTTGAGATTTCAATTCCCACCAGGAAAATCAATGGCTGTGATTGGCTGCTGTGTATTTTAGTATGCTATTTTCTTAACTGTCTCAAGGACGTTGTTATGTTGTATAAATAAACGAGAGTTGTATGCTTGATTGTACTGGATTGCTGGGTGTTTGTAGAATATACTTTCTACGCTTACCGAGACTTCTGTTTTACCGTTGGATTCAAGGTAGCCTTCCTGGAAGCTGGTAAAAGTATCGTTCGCGTTTATCGACTAAGGTAAACTCGTAATAGCATCAAGCATCCTAAGTGACGAACATATCAGTGGCGACGGGGCTCACAAGTCACAATGTCAATTAACCTTGAACAGTTAGAATCTTTACTGGAACGTCAAGGTAAACGATATGAACAGTTCCAGGAACGTATGTTGGAGCTGTTAATGAAACAAATGAATTTGAACCCACGAGATTGTTCGTTTTCTGAGACTGTTCAGACTTTAAGCCAACACTTTGGAGACAACTCGTCACTATTTAATACTCGTTATCGATGTTTGAAGCTTATTATGAACGAAGATGATGATTTTCTTACGCACGTGGGCATCGTCAACCGTGAATGCGAACGCTTTCGGTTGAAGTCTTTGTCGGAAGACCAGTTCAAAGCCCTCATTCTCATCTGCAGCCTCCAGTCGAGTAAGTTCAGTGACATTAGAACAAGGCTACTAAGTCGGTTGGAGCAAGATCCAAAGCTTACGCTTAATGATATGGCTCATGAGTACCAACGTCTCACTGACCTACAACGAGACTCGACTATAGTTCAGAGTGGTAGTTCAAGCCGATCTGAAATTCATTTGGTACAGCAGCCACCTAATCATTATAAGTCTGCCCATGCTACACCCAGTTCACCCCGCTCCAATTCGGCCCAAAAACCCAAAATGAATCCACCTTCTGCTTGCTGGCACTGCGGTTCATGGCACTATGTACGG